GGGAAACCAGTATAAGAGGCTATTTGAAAGACATCAAACATGGACTTGTCCAGACTTTGCAGGTTTTGAAGTAATACATAGGAATAAAAATTGACTCATTACTTTTAAACTTTCACGTCAGTTTCAAGAAAAAAAAAAGGAAAAGAAATGTTTTGAATGTTAATACTTGAAATATGTAATTTTTACTCGAGTATACAAGAAAGTCTACCCATAGGAACTTAGATTCATCTGAATACCCTGCTATATGTATCTAGAGCTTTCTTTTTTTCTTCTTTTGACCAAAACATAATAAAATGATAGCAGAAACATACCACATACAAAACAGTATGTACATGCTGTTTTTTTTAAATTTCTTTTAAAATTAGAAGATAATAAAGTCTCCCAGCTTCTGTCAAAGAAGAGCAGTATGTTAACCAGACCATTTTTGTTGGAAAATTTTAGAGACATTTGTGACCGAGTCTTTATATATTTTTTTTAATCTTTAAGATAATTGTATCCTTTCATGATTGTCCATTCTAGTGTCTTATGTTCCTTTTGTGACATGCTGCTAGTGTCAGGGGTAAATACAAATTGTTATTGATGATATATAGTCTTTATACTTTGAATTCAGAATTGTTTTAATAGAATTTAATAGAAATTTCAGAATTATTTAAATTTTAAAAGTTTAATGAAGTTCGTGTGGGTACAATTTTTTTTTTTTTGCCACTTTAATCTCAGTATCAGGTTTATTATTTAAAAGCACAGTAACAAAATGGAATTTAGAATATGTTTCAGAATGCCACCATTTTAATAAATGGTCTCTTGTTCGTGGCAGGTTCTGCCATCAATGTCTCATCTAATAATATTTTCTATATCTGATAAATATGGTTATCAGTTTCATAGAAAACCAGGCAGATTTGGGGGTACAAAATTGGAACTCCTTTGAAGAAATGAGAAAGGATGGAGGCTCTAATATAACAGGATAAATACTTATTGATTCAGTTTTGTATCGCTCCATTTATTTTTTCAAATGTTTCATCAAAAGTTCCAAAAAGATTTTTGGATAACATTTATATTCAGACTACACAAATTAACAATGAGAGGAATTACATGTAATTTTCATCCATAACATCAGATAGATTCTTTCATTATTAAGAATACTATCAGTAATTTACATCTGTTATTTTTCTATTTGCGTTTCCATAAATTCAATAAAATCCACAAAAATTAATTTACTCATTTTGAGATAATTAAATATTAAAGAGCAAACTAAGCACACTTTAAATACGGCTGTATCTCATAAAGACGAGTTTTCACTTTGGAGTTGAAATAATTTATTAGGCAATTACAGAAATACTAGTAGTAGTTTTGGTAGAAATTAAATTGTTTGGGCTATATATAAAGCCACTATTTGTCAAGAAAGGTGTTATTAGGCTCATAATTTATAATTCAGAACCATAAATTGTTTTAAAATCACAGTACATACATTATATATGGTTCTGGGTAGACAACTAAAAAAAGTAAAAATAAACAATTATTTTGATTTGGTTTATAATATTGAATTCTTACACATTTCTGAATTCATACTTAAATTTGTTTCCTGTGTTTTAACTACATATGGGCCCTTAATTGTTTATTTTTCTCTAAAATTCATATACGAGTGGGTGCAGGGTTAATTGTAATATAGTGCTTGGTCTTTTGAGCACTGTTTCCTCAATAGGTGTCTCAGGTTGCCAGTGTTACAATCCCAAATACTTTGTTGAGCAGACTACCTGTTCATACAGGAGCTGCATTGTTGTACAGCCTCATTCCTTCCGATGGGTGTGGAGCAGGATTAAAGCACACTTTATAGGGGTTCTAATTGTAGATGCCTAATTGACTTGATGAATAGCAAATGCTAAAATTTAAACACATACACATGCACACATAAACCTGTTTCAGGGCTGATCTGCGTGACAGAACAAATGCCTCACAGGTGTTGAATGCTTACAAGATAAAAGAGTAGTCTTTTCATATTTCCCAAGAATTTTCTTTTGAAGTTTATATGGATTTTCTATTTCATTGTTTCTTTTTAAAAAATGATTCATGGCAAGACTCCATTTCGTCTTTGGGTGTATTTTCACTTCCTAAAGGCAGACCCAAGATTTAGAAGTCGGCCAAAATTAAAACAAGAAAATCTGTCAACAAGTAAATTTTCATGCACTTTGGGAAGGGAAGAATAGTTAGAAACTGCTGACTCTAGTCTTTGACCTAGTAGGGTCACAAGTTCTTTTCTTAATTATTTAAGAATGATTCAATGCTTCAGTAAGTACTTTCGTGGTCTTGTGAGTTTGTCATCATTACCCAAAAAAGAAGAAAGCTTCTCAAGTAATGAACTTGACAAATTGATGGAAAAGACTTTTTAAAAATCAAAAGATGATCCCAGTTTTTATTTGTAACATTCTTAAAAAATACTTTCCCTTTATTGGTTTATTTTTTAACAGTTTTCCAACTCTCTTAGGGCAAATGTTTTTGTTTTTCCATAAATTTATTTAGCTTTTCATTTTGAGCTTATTGTAGATTCACATTTAGTTTAGTAAACACTACAAGGAGATCTCTTGTACCCTTTACCCAGTTTCATCCAATGGTAGTATCTTGTACAATTGTAGTATGTTATCACAACTGAGAAATTGACATTGGTACAGTCTACCAACCTTATTGAGAGTCCTTCAGTTTTACACGCGTGTGTGTGTGTGTGTGTAGTTCTATGCAGTTTGATCACATGTATAGATTCCTGTGACTACCACCAAGGATCTCTCATGCCACCCTTTTAAGTCTCCATGCCACCCTTTTAAGCTACCTTCCTACCTCCCTAACCCCTCCATGGCTACCCATAATCTGTTCTCCATCGCTATAATTTTGTCATTTCAAAAATGTTATAGAAGTGGAATCATATGGGATGTACCCTTTGACATGGGCTTTCTTTTTACTCAGTGTAATTCTCTTGTGATCCATCCAAGTCATTGCGTGTATAAAGACTTCATTTATTTTATTTATTTATTTTGCTGAGTAGTACAAGGCTATACCACAGATTTGCTTTTTTGGTTTTTTGTTTGTTTTTTAACAATTCACACATTAAAGGACATTTGTTTTTTTTTCTGTTTTGGGTTATTGTGAATAAAGTTGCTGTGATTTTTTGATTACAAGTTTATAACATTGTTACTATTTTATTCGTAACATTTTATTTATTCAAACTATAGGTCATAGAAGTGAGGCTAAAATGAATTGTAGTAGTTGGATATTTCCTAGAGGTGAAATTTGAGATATAGGGCAAACATATAACACATAATTCTCCAGGGCCTTTATTTTTCCTTAATATCTACATTTCTTGGCATTAAATTATTACAACTTGGGGCAATAGGAAAGGGTGACTTCCCTACTTCCCTATCAGTATCTTTGTGACTTTTAACTTTGTCCCCAATCAGCATCATGGAAGGGGTGATTGTGGGGAAATGTATAGGTTTTTAAAAAAAAAAAACTTTTACTTGTCTTAAAGTATATTGTTCAAAAGACTGTCCTAAATTAAACAGATAATGAAAACTTCTGTTCTTGGACATGACAGATTTATTAATGTTTCTATACACATTATATGGAAAATTTTTCTAAATGTATAACTTACTAGAGTCCATAGACCAAAGACAAATAGTAAATCTTTGATTTTTTTCAGAAATCAGTCAACCTGTAACTATTTATTGGAGACTAATTCTGCCTTAAATAAAATGAATTCTTGAATAGACATAGAATTTTTAAACTTCCTAAACATTATTTTTAAAATAAATAAAATATCCACGACTTAATAAAATAGATTAAGTTAGATACCAGAGAAAGTACATACAGAAGCTCCCCTCCCCCCCACTTTTTGATAATTACATTGCAGGAAATAGAGAACATAGAGAAAACCAAATGGTTCAGTGTTGCTAAATAGACTTAATTTTTTTATTTAATGATTTTAATAGCTATATATTCCATCAAGTGGTTATATATTTTACTTAAACATGTCCCTATTTTAAGCATTTTATGTTGCTATAAATTGTTCACTATTCTTTGTGACTATGAGTTTCTCTATAGTTTGGACTATAGTGTTGGGTTAGAATCCAAAAAGTCAGATATTGATGAAAAAGTGTCCTGTTATTGCTAAATTGCTTTCCAAAAAAATTGTGTCAATTTATACTATCTCAAGCAAAATATGGGAGTATAGTTTTACGACACTTATTAACATTTGGTATTATATTTCTGCTAAGTAATTTCTTTTGGTTTGAATTTATATTTAGTTGCTAGCAATGTATACATGTTCATTTAATAGTTGTTTTTCTCCTTTTAATTATTGTTTCTGAAAATTAGAAATGTCACTGTATTTTATCTATATCTTCCTTGCAGTTTCAGTGCCCATCAGCCTGGTTTCTTCACAATAACTACCTGAGTCCCAGAGGCAGTGGTTTTGTTATGTTTTGTGTCAGAATCAATTAAAATTAAAAATAATTAGTACAAATATCTTGAGATAAAAACACTAATGCCCGTTGTTAAGTACTTTTTGTAAGCAATTTTGCCCTAGTCCAGGACTTCCTGCCACAATCTGTTTTAATCCCAGAAGACTTGAGCGTACATGAGCACTATTGCTGTTAGCAAGTACATTGGCTGTGTCAGAACATAGAACATCGTTTATAGTGAACTTCTAAATTACATGCTTGCCCCTACTAGTAGAAAGGAGGCAACTCACTTTAGGTAGAGAAAATTTCATTCTACTTGGCTGTCATATAATAGACTAAATGCAATAATGTTACAGATATACTTTTGTGACCTCAGGGTACAAATAAGGGAAATAACTCTCTTCAAACTAATGGGACCTGGCCCATTTTTCAGAGGCCAGACTCAAGTGACTTAATAATGTAGCATTAGACTCAAAGAAACTTAGATTAACTGCTTAAGAAATGAGGAAATGTATAAATAAAATACTGTGGTTTTTTTTCCTTAATATTTTTCAGGTTTACAAGTAAAAGTAACTAAACTGAAAAAGGAACGAATTTTGTAAGTATCAATATGTAACACTTATGTCTTATTTATAAATTAATTGATACCAATGTCCTATTTGACCTCAATGTCTTATTTATAAGGAAATTAGCTTTACTTAGTGTGAACCTTGGATAGTTGACATCAAATTTTTCAGACTTTTAAAGTAAAAGAAATAACTTAATCATTCTGAGTATAGTCTTAGTTAATATTTGCTTATATTTATATTTTAACATGATTGTAATATATAATTTTCATAAAGTATTTAAGACAAGAACTGACCTGTAAATTCATTTTGATCTGTCAACAAAATCCTTTTCTTAACTATGATTAACACCTGGAACATCCTTACCCATAGAATAATTTATATCTCTGTTTCTACAGTAAAGCCATTCAGTTCCCACAACAGAGAGATATTTCTTTACTTATAGAGGAAATTAAATCATTTCTGAGTAGTAAGTTTAGGATGTATACCTTATTAGGATAATTTCTTACTATGAGCAAAATAAGCCACTAGAAGTGACTTTTACAGCAAGGAAAACATATTCTTTCACATAAAAGGTCCAAAGTAGGGTGATCCTAGGATGAGTTATTCAGTGACTGAAAAATCATCAAAGACTCAGGTTATTTCTGTCTTTCTTCTCTGCCATCTTTAGTGTTTTGGTTTGCCTTATTAGTTGTCATACACTACAAAATGGCAAGATGACCATCATCATTCTAGTTATCACTTGCAGAACCTCCTTGTGTTCCTTTTTACTAATTATAAAAGTTTTCCAGAAGCAACCTCCATCAGACTTCCTCTGACTCACTAATGATTATTGTGTGTGCGTTCCTAAACAATAACTAGCAAAGGGAATTAAGTTAACATGATTCGCTCAGACTAATAAAGATTCTGACACTACTTTATATGTATTCTAGACTGAGCAAATAAGTAAATATATTATTGATAATGAGAGCCAGGTTTTACCCTCTCAGGAGAAAGGAGTTAACAAAAGGAGAAGGCTAGAATGAACCCTCTGCTGCTGGGTAGGAATTGGAGTTATTAGTATAAATATATGGGTGAATACATATGGAAATAGATACAGATATATGTTAATAGGTGTGAAGACACACATACATTTCCTAGCGTGGTCCATTGAGAGGGCCTAGAAACAGTGATTCCCAGTAGAAATGAGTACACCTGAAGCCCAGATCTTGATTTCTAAAGAGAATTCTCCAGTAAAATGAATCAAGGCTCTTTGGAGAATTTTGGGGCTTCACGTGTGCTCATTGTGGGTATGCAAAGTACAAGATGAGCTAGGACAGAAAATAAGAAAACGTTAAAAAAAATGGGGACATGTTGAATAGATACTAAAAAGATCTTTAAAAAAAACCCCTCTAATGGATAAATCTAGGAAAACCTGAACAATGAAATAATGATAATAATGAATTATTCTACCTGTGGAATAAATGGACAGTTCTTTTTTAGTATAAGTTTTGCAAATTACTCAAAGTATCTCCCACAGGATACTTAATAATTGCAAGGAGAAAATTATTACAATGTAATTGTAATTACAATTACAATTATTACACTGTAAAATTATTACAATGAAAATTATTACCAGTTAACATCACTGGTAATCAGATATGTCAGCTTCATGTACCTCCTGATGTGATACACCAAGAACACAGCCTTACTTCTTCTGTTGTATGCTTACCAAAAATGCACAATCCAAATTTTATCATGGAAAAGACCAGACAAACCTTACTTGAAGGACAATCAACAAAAGAACTGGCCAATACTTTTCAAAAGCATCAAAGACAGAGATGAAAAACAAAGATGAAGAGACTGTCTCAGATTCAAGGAGACATGACATTAAATGCAATGTAGGATCCTGGATTGGACCAGAAAAATAATATTAGAGGGATAGAGAAATAAGGTCTGTAGATTAGGTAATGGTATTGTATCAGTATTACTTTTTTTTTATTTTGATCATTGTATTATTGTTTTGCAAGATACTAACATTCTGAGAAGCCAGATAATAGGTATACAGGCATTCTTTGTTCTATGTTTATAACTTATTTGTAAGTCTGAAGTTATTTTAAGATGAAACATTAAAAAACTTTTTAAAGATTTCATCCCTTGAGCCCAGACAGATAACTTCTCTCCAAGCAGCTACTGGAAATTGAGAAAAATCGCTATTCTTTTAGCAAAGAATAAGGAGATGACTGTTGGATAAGCAACAAAATTGTAACTGCATTTAGACTAGTACTACTCCTGCAGCTCAGAGGACAGTAGGCAATGCAGCTCTTAAGGCATGGTTTCCTTTTATGACACAAATTTTGCTTTGTTTCTGTGGGAAATAGGGATATCAAAAACCAGCTTTTTAATGCACTTTAATTAATATTGATGGTATTAACTTATTTTATATGCATGTTAGAATTATCTAATAGTTGCAGAAAACTATGTATAAATTTTCCCTGTAATAAAAATTATTCCAAAAATAAATATAATGAAATTGCATCAGTTGAATGAGGAAAATAGATTATTTTCTTAATTAATAAGTAAAATTTCTCTTTTTCTATCCACCTGAAATTAAAAAGGGAAAATATCTTTGTTTCATTTAAGAATAAATAGGCTTTTCTTTACTGGTGAAAATATTTTATTTGAGTGATTTGAGATTAAAAATTGTTATGAAATACACTTATTCTGTTGTTTTTATCTTCACTTTTGTTTATAGCCCAGGTAGTGATGGCTGCTGAAGCATTGTTAATCAGAAATTGAGTACTATCAGTGACTTGGTATGGTGATTTAACACATACCAAACTAAATAGCTAATTACTGTTTGTTCAAGTTATTCTACAAGTCTCCTCTTTTATGCACATAATAACACTATATAAGAATTCTGTTTTCTCTGACCTTTTCTCATACTAAAAGTTTAAAGTTTCAAAGTTGATTAGGAGTTAGACAATGAGCTCTTTATATTGTACCTTGGTTTAATGTTGAAATTAGTGATCTCGTAAATGCTAGATTAACAACCATTGATTAGAATGACATCCTTTAGAGTCACAATGTTGGGCACTTTTAAGAAGCAATACTAAAACCAAGAAAATGTATTTGCTATCTGATTATACATTTTAAGCTATGTTCAATAAAATTTTTTGAAGGAATTTATTTTTATTAAAATGGATCCTTTATATAGGCCTGGTAATTTAATTTTCTAAAATATTATTCTTTTAAATAATAGATTTATAGCTATAAAATTATATTTCCTTTTAGCTAGAATCAGAATCATTTCCGTGCAGATTGAATGACTAGAAATAATCAGAAAATATCTAGATTTGCTTATGACAAACATGTGTTTTATAACAGACTTTATGTACAAAATGTATCTCTATACATCTCTAACCAAACAGCTAATGAAAAACCTTTTTAAATTTGTAAACGACTATTGAGTGTTACTTTCTCAAAAACCACCTATAACATTTCTGAATTTTAAAGAGTGGAAATGCAGCTGGTTATTCAGTAGCTGATGATACTGTCTTACTTCACTGTATAGTTTAGAGTCATTTGATCCTCGTAGCAGCCTTTTAATATATATTGTAATTACTCTGTACCTCAGGTAGCTTGGGGTTATACATTTTGGAAGCACAGGTAAGTAACTAAATGCCCTGAGTAATCAGAGAATTAAAGGGATGCTTTATGTTGTAGTAAGTTAGGTCTTTTCATTGTGAGACCAGGAGCTTGGGTTTGCCTATATTATCATAATCTCCTTTTCCCAGTATATTTTATAGTAGACAGGGTACAGCAACATTTAGGATGTCCTATCTCTATATTATTACAGTAGCTGTATTGGTAAGATATCACATTCCTTAGGGCTTCCCACTCAGAAGAAGCAATTAGAAAAGTAATAACTATATTATATTTATCCATCACTGAATTGTTTCAGACCTGTGTCTTGATGACAGTTGTCTCTGCACATGGCTAAAGCTTCTTTTTTACATAAATTCATTTACAAAATTAAACATGTAGAAATGTTGTATGTTGAATATTTATTTATTGAATACTCCCAAAATAAGGTCAGTGAAAACCTGGTGGCTGCTTCTGAATTAAATATATTTTCTAGAAGTATTATAAAAAATTTTATTATTAACTGAGAAACAGCCAAATTAATAAGTTTAAGTTATCTGTTACTATCTATTATTTCTAAATTTTCAGATATCTACATATGCTACCAGAAGTATATTGTAGAACAGGAGGCTGTCACTCTTAGATGTCGGAGCCAGCCGACGAAGTAATTCAGGGTACCTGAAAGGGGGAGCATGGACTGAGGAAAAGAAAGAAGACAGACAGAACTGCAGGAGGGAGCACAGATACAAGCTGTCTGTGTCTGTGTCCCCAAGTTTATTCAAAACACTACTTATAGCATTGCAATGAGAAAACAGCAGTCAAGACTCAAGGTCAGCCCAATTACCTGTCCTGCAGAACAGATGCAGTTCTCACAACTCCCTTCTTTGAAAGCACTGAGTGATTAAAATAGTTTTAGTACCACTTATCTCAAAGCTCGCCAATTTAGCTCAGCTCCCAACACTTAGATGTATTGGTTTTTCATTCAGTATCAACTATTCAACCAATATTTAAGAAATACCTTATTTATTGGGTATCTGACATTTTGACTTTGAGTTGTTCTATTCTCCTGAGGTTTTTTTTTGCTGCCAGTATTAGTACATTGTACATTTTAGCCATTTTGACACAATCATTCGGACATCTACTTTTTGTGGCAGACTGGTCTGTCATACTTATTTAGATATTTTAGATCCTTGAAGAGTCTGAAGGAAGATAACTTGAGCCAATGTATTGTCCTATATTTTCAGCTTTAAGACCACGCAGAAGATCCCAATTAAATTTCTAATGTTTTCTTAGAATTAAAATATATGCATGCTTTATATAATAATGTGATTTAAAAAAATATAATGATGGAAGAGTAAAATATTATCCAACATTGGAAAGTAACCAGGTAATATACTAGAAGAAAATTTTAGAAGTCTTTGTTCATTTCTTCCTGACTATAAAATCATTATAAACACCTTCATTAGAACTTACTGTGTTCCAGACTGTTCTGCATGCTATATGTACATTAGTACTTAGTCTTTGCAAATGTCTTATGAGGTAGATACTAATGTATCCACATTTTTTGAGGCACAGAGTGTAGGTTACTTGTACCAGGTCACACAGCTGGTAAATGACAGAGTTGATATTCAAACCTAGGCATCAGGATCTAGGGTTCGTGTACTTCATGGTAAGCCCTGGTTTAAAAGTAATACTAGGTAGAAGTTTAAACAACACAGAAATTAATTAAATAGAAAGTACAAATCCCCCATAATGGGAACAGAGATGATACGAGTAGAGATAGCTGTTATTTACATTAGCAAATGTAGACAAAACAATAGTAAGTGTACATTTTAATGGCAATTTTGACAACATCAAATCAATGGTGGCATCACAATCCATTCCTTCATCTGTGTTCCAGCATTGATTAATGAATGTCTGGTACTTAGGATAATTCTTCTCTAGTATATAAAAATACTGCAGAGCAAATTCTAGTATAATCTGAATTCCAATTAACAAGATATTCAAACCTTACTTTTTAAGTTGTTTGTTTTAATACAGCAAATTCATGATATATGTAAGTGGTGATACCATACTTTGGAGTTTTATGACAAAATTATCCTGTTAGAATATTTTTTTCCTAAAAGAAAACAAAAAACTTATTTATTGACTTTTAGAGATGCACAAAGACTTGAAGAATTCTTCACCAAAAATCAACAGCTGAGAGAGCAACAGAAAGTTCTTCATGAAACCATTAAAGTTTTAGAAGATCGGTGAGTCTGATTCTTGGGTCTTCTTAAGTGAGAGATGATTTTCTCCTTAGTAGAAAGTACATCGGTTTTAGTTTGTAATCAGCTCTGAGACTGAAAGTGATCTTTTTTCCAACGTTATGTCAGCTTTGGAAAAATACTTTCTGATATTAAGGATGTAATCTTACAACTTTGTTTTTTCACTAGTTACAGCAGTCGCATTAATTAACCCTTTAAATGGTGTTTCTTTATCTGGTATTTGATGTAGAATGAGCTTAAGAATAGCAATGTTCTAATTTATTTGATGCTTTAATTCCATTTTTACTTCTAAGTAGGTGGAACTGCTTCACAATTCTATTCCTGTTTTCTTATTCCTGTGATTATTATTTTCTTTCCTGCATATTCTTCTCTTGCAGGCAGTCTAGGGATTCTTTCTCAATATTCTCGACATACTTACTTCACCTCCATGTACAGACTTTCCCACTTTTATGAGGTTAACACCCTACAATAGAAAAGGCTTCCCGATTTTGCTGTATTCCCTTATCTGAACTGTTAAGTGCTGTTTAGGACCTCGAACTACCTGTCATAAACAATGTTTCTTGCTTTCTTTACAGTTAATATTTTTTCTTTTATTACTATTTTTGTTTGTGTTACAGAAGGGCTGGTGGTTTGAATTTCCTACTGTGCCTTTAGTGGCAGAATAATCTAATATTCTGTACATATGCAAACTGAAGTTGAGTACACTTCTTCTATAAACATTATCTCAGTGGATGCACATTTACTGGAATAGACAGCCTATTGTGGAATAAAGCACCATGTGCTTCAGAATCATAGATGTGAATTTGAATTCCAATTCCACACTTAATTCAGATTCAACAATAGTTAATTCCTTACTATGTTCTATGTGTTGCTGTAAAGGCTAGGGATAATGCTGTCCCTAGTATGTCATGGAACTGATATTTAATTTTTAAAGGTTGGGAGTGAGTCATACAAATAATGTAATTTCAGATTTTAAGTGCTATGAAAAAAATCAAATTAAATAATGTAATCGAGTGACCGTAGGCATTGAGAAAGGAAGGGATACTGATGGATGTCAGGGATGGCCTTTTTGAGGAGGTACCATTTGAACTAAGACCTGAATTACACACACACACAAAAAGAGCCAGTCATTTAAAGAACTGGATATAAAAAGAGAACAAATGCAAAAGCTTAAGGTGGAAATAAGTTTTGAAATATTTGAGGAATAGAAAGTCCGCTGTGGTTCTAACTTAATGAACAAGAGGATGAATGAAAGGAGGTAAGATTGGAAAGGTGGGATATAACTAGATTATTTAAGGACATAGGCAAAAAGCTTAGATTTTAATTGCAATGGTTTAAGCAGGGGGATGTTGAAGGAATATGAGTGGGTACTAATAGCGTCTACTATATCTAAATAGAGAAAGTCAAGTACATAGTCATATATATGAGTCTGAACTAACTGGAGTAATTAGAGCTAGAGAAATAAATTTGAAAGTCATCATCTGTGTATAAATCCTATTTAAAACCTCAAGATTGGATAAGATCTCCTAAGGGCATCTTAAAGAATATAGGGAGAGAATAAAAGAGGACTCAGGGCTGAATTCTTGGGCATACTAATCAAGGTTTAATGAAGATAAGGACCCAGTCAGCAAAAAAAAAGATTAAGAGAAATTATCAGAGTGGGAAAAAAGCCAGGAACAAATGGCATGACACTTACATACCTTCTTCACAGGGCTGTTTTGAAGATTAGAGATAATGCAAGTAAAATTATATAAAAGAAGTATAAAAAGACATAATATTCCTCCTAAGCATTAATAATTCCATCTTTTAGCACTGTAGTCTACTGTATACCACAGCCAGATCTAGTCTCTTTCAGCTGAGACATCTGGAAGCTAGAAAGCCATCCATCTTTCTCACCCTCGGTCCAAGATCAAAAAGGAAATCGTCTGTTACTCTTCTGTTAGTGTGGTGAGGCATTTCCTTCTGTTTTGTCTGTATATGTAATAGAGGATTTGGGAAGAAGGGTGAAAAGCATATCTTTCTCAGCCTTTATCTCTTTAGCAATTGAAGCACTTACTTATCTTATTTCACCATATTTTTCTCACATTTTTATCAGTCTACCACTTTCCACGAGCAATGAGGTAGTAATAATGGTAGTAATGGCAAGAGACCAGGAATTCTTTCTGTTTAGTGATTCCTACATCAAGAAAATTTTAAGGTTAGCTTCTACTAAATGTTTTAGTCCGAGTTCTCTGAGAAGCAAACATCAAGATGACAGTAGACATTCAAGAGATCTATTGGGAGAAACTAGGGTAAAATGAGGGAGCTGGAGGAGGCTAAGAGAACTATGAGATCTCTATGGATCTTAGACTGAATTGCAGTTTTAAGAAACCTAAGCAAGGCCACTGAGGAGTTCTGGAACCATAATATCCCTTCTCCACTCACTCAGAGGGTGGCTTCTGACTGTGGAATGCCTAGTGTGTTCACTTATATAAAGAGGTGAAGGATTTCAGAGCAAAACAGCTAGGGCCTGTGATTTTACTTCTCACAACAGGAGATGCATTTTTGTGGCTGCCACACTCAAGGACTGATTGTATTTGTTTCCAACACACTTCCTGTTTAGTTGGTCATTAGCAAGTTGTTTAGGGCCCACAGTCAGCATTCCGAAAAAAATGACAAGGTAAAGTTTTCATTGTGTTACTTGAATTGCCTTAATAAACCTACTTTCCATTTCACCCCTCAGACGCAGTGTTCCTCATGTTAGCCCTTGAAGACGCTCTTTTCTAGTGTCTTCTGATCATTTCTTCACTTTATGATTTAAAGTTTGGGCTTCTAGTTCTGTTATTCTTTGTATTTTGTGTTTCCCTTCTTAAGTGAATTTTTATTTTCCAGCCCATTCTGAGAAAAAAATGTCAGTGGATGAATTCCCCAACTTGAAGTATTTTCTAAATTACTCTTTTATTTAGTTAATTGTTAAAATTATCTTTTTGTGGAGTTTTCAGATTGGTGAACATGTGGAAATGTGAGGGGAGTGGCATGCTAGGGGAGGAGAAAAATAAAAATATATATCTTTTTTATTCTGTACTTTCTTAAAACTAGATTGTTTTCTATTTTTGATCTGTGGTCACTAATTTCACATGGATATCATGCTGCTTTGCTGTTTCTTATCCTAAATGTTCTCTTGCTTTTCATTCGGTTCACCTTTATGTCCTTAGGTAGGTGGGACTGTAATTCATTATGTGGTATTAACTTGGTGGTAGGAGTCAGGTGGGGCAAGGAGTGTAGCTCATTTCTTTATACACATGCTTTTTCTCTCCTTCCTTCAAATACAAATCTGAAATTTCCTTTCAGGCGTACTTTAAGATTTATCCTTTGTTTCTTGAAGCCTCATGTAATTAAACCAAGAATGATCTAGATTTGACCATTTCTTTATGTAGGAACTGATATATCGAAGGCTCACTTTGGATCCAGGCAGCTAGCACTTAATCTTCACATTAACGCTATACGGTAGATGGTAAATTCATTTTATATGTGAGGAAACTGAGCTGGTTTTTTTACCCCAAAATCACATAGTTAGTGTATAATTGGGTTAAATTTGAACCTCTAAACTCTGCAGTTTCTACTTTCATGATGCCTTGTCTATATGTTGCCTTAATTTTTTAAATGTTGTGTAAATGAATTACACCTTAACTGATCATCTCAAAGTATTTGCACTTGACCTAAAGTTACCTAAACAGATAACTCTTCACCAATGCCTATTATCTAGTCTATTTTCTTCGAATATCTAAGTAGGTAACATTTGATAAAGTTATGCCTTATATAAATTTTTATTTTAGTTTTATATCATAGGTAAGAATAATATCTAGAGCAAATCTATAAAAGTTAATGTTTTGCTGAGACCCTTAAAAAGCAACATGCATTTTTGTTTATATTTCTAGTAGGAATTCTGAAACTTGTTATCTACTCTTCATTAGATGAAGCGATTCTTATTTCTTATGGTAATGTGGTAAAAATATTGTGAGATGTTTAGCTGAAAGGAATTACCCAGTAAAGGTAAATTAGATAATAAAAATTTCTAATTTTTTGTGGCTCTCTTATGTTTTACTACTACTATTATTATATTTACAAACTTTCCTTCAAGAAATCAAGTATTTCACTAAATCTGAGAAACAGTCACTGCTGGAGAAGTAGATAGAATACATTTAAAAAAAAAAAAACCTGAACAAAGCATTTAAACCATAATTGTCCAGTAGATTTTAATATTTTTAAAAGCATCTTTGGCAGTCAGGAAACTATATTTCACCTGTCATTAAAAGGGAAAATTGGTACTCATAATCAGAGGATTTGTGGTTCTGCAACTTTTTTTCAAATACTGGACCAAATACCCTCTTTTGTCTTGCTGATAACTTCTTACTCATAGACTTGAATTTAAACATCATATTCTTCAGGGGACCTTTTCTGACTTCCTAACTTGGTTAAGTTCTGCTGTATGCTTTTATATTTCATAGCACCCTATATTTCCACTGTCATGATATGAAATCATACTTTGTTGTAAAATTACTTTTTTATTGTCTTT